AATTCGGCCATGGCGGGGGTGTCGGGCGAGCTCAGCGAGAGCCTCAGTCGTAGCCGTGCGTGCTTACGAGAGAGCACTACGAGCGGCGGTGCTTGTGTCGCTGAGAGACGTCCACCCCCCCCAAAAATTGAGATAGTGGGGAAGCGAAGGTGTGGGTGCGGTCCGAGAGGAGATCGTAGGCTCTGAATACCAAGTGTTACGAGTGCAGTTGAGTGAACGAACGAGAATTTCACTATCGAAGCAAGAGTACAATGAGCGAAGGCATGAGCGAAGAATATATAGCGAAACTACAGTGGTAACAGTAATGGACTGTGGTTGTCGCGCGACGGGCCTGGGACTGAGGTTGGGAAAAAGTGTCGAAGCGGAGGCCCGGAGCGCGGGTTACCCGCCGAGCCGTGAGGTCGGGGTGCGATGTGCGAAGGTGGCGGGCAGATTGTCGATGCGAGGGTTGCGAGTGGTAACGGTGCTGACTGTGGTGCTACAGTGATGTACGCGTTGAGCAGGGATGCGAAGTAAGGAAAAGGAATTTTCCTTACACGTGGTCATTTTAAATAACAAGCAATGTTGTATGGTTTGGCAAAAAATAAGAAAAAAAGGAGAAGCTGTGTATTGCTATATCCTGCCCAGCTAGATGGCATCTCAGTGTGGTACATAATGAAATATGCATATGGTTTTCGAAAGCCAACATGTCAATGCGTAGACATTGGTGTCAAATGTCATTATCTGTTATAGGTTGTGGTGAGGTGCTCCTTGGTGAGTACAACTCAGTTAGGGTTTCACATTTGTACTGCCTTGCTTTCCTAGTCTCACCATTCCGCTACGCATCACTGTCGAGATGGTATCAGGGCGAAGATCTCGGGTTCGAATCCCCATGTGTGCACATGCTGGCGGTGACGTTGTATTGTGTCCTAGGGCATCCCTGTGCAGGGGGTGTCTGAAAACCAACACTGGGGATGCCCGATTGATCATAGGGAAGGGTTAGAGGATCGCTGGCCTGTTGGGTTATGGATGCACTGACCCACTACTTAACAAGCCCTACTACACCCGGTACCCCTGTCGAGGTCTCCCGGTTCCCCCTCCCCCCCTCTTCCTCGCACCCTCTCTCCCCCCTGCTTCCGCTCCTCCAGTACCCCCACCCCCCTCTGGTCCTGCCCCGTCAGGTGTGTCTCACGCTACCCCTCTACCCTCAGTCGCGCGTCAGGTAGCGTCTCCCTCCCCGCATTCCTCCTCACAGTCTTCTCAGCAGCCTTCGGCACTTCCGCGACAGGTTACTGTGGACTCGGTTGGTGTTGGAGCTGGAGGTGCAGCCACTGGCGGTACTCGGTCTGGGGATGCTCGTTCGAGGGGTGCTGAAGCTGGAGGTGCTGGAGCAGGTGGCACTAGCTCTGGGGGTGCTGGAGCTGGAGGTGCTGGCACAGGAGGTGCTAGTTCTGGAGGTGCTGGTGCTGGAGGTATTGGTACTGGAGGTACTAGTTCTGGGGGTGCTGGAGCTGGAGGTGTTGACACTGGCGTTGCTAGTTCCGGGGGTGCTGGAGCAGGAGGTACTGGCGCTGTAGGAGCTGAAACTGAGGAGACAAGAGCTGGAGGCTCGCCTACTGCGTCGCCCACTGCGCCTCCCCACCGCCACCACACCCGTTTCCAGGCCCTTCGTCGGCTTGAGCGCGAGGAGCAGGAGCAGTTGGCGCGGGAGAGGCAGAAGTTGCAGTGGTTGGACCAGCACCAGCAGCAGCAGCAGCAGCAGCAGCAGCAGCGGTAGCAGCCGTCACTTTTGCAGCAGTTGTTCCCTCCAGTGAGTGGCCTTCGGGCCCTTGGACTTCCTTCCTCTCCTCCTGTCCACTCATAGTCTCCTACCGCGTACGATCTTACGTTTCCTCCTCCGAACTCGGCTCCAGATGTTTTCTCTCCTCCTCAGTCACAGGCGTCTCCTCCTGTTGTCCCGCACGACTGGACCAGCCGTTGTCCTCCGCGTGCTCGACCCTCGTCTCCTCTTGCCGACCTCCACACTGTCTTGTTTCATTCTAGTCCTCGTCGTTCTCCGCCTGTGTCTGTTCTCCCCTCACCTCCTGCGTTGTCTCTCACCGTTTCCTCTCACCCTATCACTGACTACTACCGTGCTGCTCGCCCTGTTGTCTCTCGTGTTCTCGCTTCTCTTGTCACCGACCCTCGTGCCTCTTTTTCGTCTGTCTCGGCTCTTACTGCCGCTGTCGCTGACTTTGCTTCCACTCGCCGCCTTGACTACGCCACACGTGTGGCGGCTTCTCCACCTGCCCGTTCTCTGTGCGTCGGGGGTGAGTCTGTCCTTGGCTGTGACGTTCTAGAGGACATGCCATTCGAGCTGGAGTTCTTAGCAGCTGTTTCCCCATCTCTCTGCGCCATGCTGCTTTCCCTTGAGGGAGACCCCGACGCCCTTGACATACCGACACCTCGCACGTACCGTAAGGCAGTGTTAGGGGAGTGGGCCTCTCACTGGAAAGCGGCCATGGATGCAGAGCTAGCGTCTTGGAGATCCACAGGCACGTACGTCGACGCAGTTCCCCCTCTCAGTGCGAACACTGTCGATGGCATGTGGCTCTTCAAGGTGAAGCGGCCGCCCGGTTCACCGCCTGTGTTCAAGGCGCGCTACGTGGCTAGGGATTTCATTCAGCGTGAGGGAGTTGACTTCTTCCAGACCTTCGCCCCGACCCCGAAGATGACTACTCTTCGGGTGTTACTGCACGTAGCAGCACAGCGAGACTACGAGCTGCACTCCCTTGACTTCTCCACTGCGTTTCTCCAGGGCTGTCTACACGAGGAGATCTGGTTGCGCCGTCCTCCTAGCTTCACTAACATCTTCCCACCTGGGACCTAGTGGAGCCTGAGGCGGCCAGTCTACGGTTTCCGCCAGTCGCCCTGTGAGTGGCACGACACTCTTCGCTCCACGCTTCGTGACCTTGTGTTTCATCCTTCCTCTGCCGACCCGTCGCTGTTTCTTCGCACTGGTTCCACTCCTTTCTTTATACTAATGTACGTCGACGACTTGGTCTTTGCTACAGCGGACAGGGCAGCTCTGACTGAGGTGAAATCCGAACTGCAGAAGAGACACAAGTGCACAGACCTCGGTGAATTGCAGCGCTACCTTGGCCTGCAGATCACCAGGGACAGAGCCGCTCGCACCATCACACTGACTCAGTCACACATGGTGTAGCAGGTCCTCCGGCGGTTCGGGTTTCAGTTCTCCACCACACATCCCACTCCTCTTGCCATTGACCACCGACTCACTGGCCGTTTTCCCGACGAGCCCTTTGAGTCTAGTGGTCCCTACGCGGAGCTTGTGGGCAGCCTCATGTACCTGATGACTTGTACTCGGTCGGACCTCGCCTTTTCCCTCAGCGTCCTCTCTTGCTTTGTTGCGACTGGGAGACACCGTCCTGTTCACTGGACAGCTGCTGTGAGGGTGGCGAAGTACCTGGCGACTACATCAGACATGGGGCTTATGCTTGGAGGGACACAGCCAGTTGTGTTGACCGGTCACTGCGACTCTTCCTACTTTGACGACATGGAGACTCAGCGCTCGACTCAGGGTTACTGCTTCAGTCTGGGTGCTGGTGCTGTATCGTGGAGGTCTACACTGTCTTCGTCTGTGGCTTCGTCATGTGCAGAGGCAGAGATCTACGCTGGTGCCATGGCGGCACAGGAGCTTCGCTGGTTGACTTTCTTTCTCACCGACCTTGGTGAGCGGCCTCGCTCTGCACCGACCTTGTACGCTGACAACAAGGTTACGATCCTCCTGTGTCGAGAGCCTCGACTGGAGAGCAGAGTGAAGCATATTGACGTGAGGTACTTTCTCCTGCGAGAGCTAAAGCGACGCAGCCAGGCACGCTTGGACTTTGTGGCCTCAGAGGCCAACACTGCTGACGTCTTCACCAAGGCCTTGTCGCCTGGTGACCACCACAGGTTCTGTGTGTAGCTAGGGCTTGTTGAGGTAAGCCCACGGTTGTTGTAGTGTTGCTCTTGTTGCGTGTTCTGCTTGTCAGTGCCTTTATATATATTGTGCTCTCTTGAACTGGCCTTGTGGCCGCTTGCTTGTGCTCAGAATTTGTGTGGTGTTCTTGAGATCCACCCTGAGCTTGCTTTGCTTCTTGTATTGACTGGTCTTGTGACCGTTTGTTCACCCTGCTTGCTTTGATGCCTCTCACGTAGCCAATGGGGGTGTGTCAAATGTTATTATCTGTTATAGGCTGTAGTGAGGTGCTCCTTAGTGAGTACAACTCAGTTAGGGTTTCACATTTGTACTGCCTTGCTTTCCTAGTCTCACCATTCCGCTACGCATCACTCTTGAGAATTGGTACAACAATGAGTGCTATCATAGCTTAATGGAGAAAACTACTGCAGCAAGTTCTGTCATGTAATGTTAATTATGGAGTCGCAAATCACAAATACTCACGTAACTGCTCATGAAGTACGGCTAGGCAAAATGCGAATCGTGCCCTTGAACTGAATGCATCTTCCAATATGTTCAGTTTTCAGAAATTGCCTGATTTTAAGCCCTTTTTGTCTACTGAATTGGATTGAGCTACTCCCCTCAGCTCCGCTCTCTTCCATCCCCCTCCCTCCCTCGCTTCCCTCCCCTCTTCTTCCCAACTCTTTCAAAAGGAAATACTGGGCCACCTCAAACCTGAACATGTAGCAGCAAGGTGTGCACCTCGTGCATGTCATCCACCACAATCAGCTACAATTATGACCCACAATCGGCCACGATCAAAATGCATTAGTTCAGAGTAGATTATGAATACGGCTACCCCTGAATTAGAGACGCCAGAAACACTGTGTCTTACTGCTTTTCACTCTGCTGCATCCTCACTTGCTCATTCAACTTTAGCTAGCCCTTGCACATTGAGTCGCAACCCATTTTCCCTCCACGCTGACTGGATATCTGTTTTCTCCTTTTCTGCAAGTCCTTGAGCTCACCCTACTCCGCTTCCTCCTCTTCCTCCTTATTTTTCCTTCCTTTCTTCTTCCTGTTATTCCTCCTCTTCCTCCCCTTCCTCCTGCTCCTCACCCTCCTCGTCTTCCTCTTCTTCCTCCTCTTCGTCCTCCTCTTCCTCCTCCTCTTCTTCCTCTTCCTCCTCTTCCTCCTCTTCTTCCTCTTCCTCCTCTTCCTCCTCCTCTTCCTCCTCCTCCTCCTCCTCCTCCTCCTCCTCCTCCTCCTCCTCCTCCTCCTCCTCCTCCTCCTCCTCCTCCCCCTCCCCCACCCCCTCCGTCTCCTCCCCCACCCCCTCAATCTCCAACCCATTCCCCACCCCCACTCCTCCCTCCTCTCTCTCAAAATCCTCCTCTAACTCATACTCCATCTCATCTTCTCCCTCCTCTCCCTCCTCCTCCTCCCCCTCCTCTCCCCACAGTCTATGCCCCAGGAACATAACCATCCTCTGCAAAACCTCAACCTCCATCTCCCTATGTGCTAGCCTCCTTCTCATCTCCCCCAAATCAGCATTTTCTCGCATCCTTCCATCAACCTGCCCTTGAGCCAACTTTCCCTGCTGCTCCTGATGCTGCTGCTGCTGCTGTTGCAGCAGCTCCTGTTTCCTCTGCAGCCGCAAAATCAGCTCTCTAATCGCTCGCTCCATCCCCTCCTCTCCAACCTCCACCTCCACCTCCCCTTCCCCTTCCTTCCCTCCCCCACCCTCCCCTCTTGCCCTCTCCACTGCAGCCACCGCATCATAATAACTTCTTAAAAGACTCTCAACTAAGCGCTCGTCGGTCTCATCCATAGCAAGCATCTGCTTCCACTTGGCCTTCATGTCCGCTCTTGCCTTCGCCATGATCTCATCTCTCACCCGCGTCTGCTCCAACAGCTTCTCCTCCTGCCCTGCCTCCAGCTGCCTCACCTCCTCCTCCTCCTCCTCCTCCTCCTCCTCCTCCTCCTCCTCCTCCTCCTCCTCCTCCTCCTCCTCCTCCTCCTCCTCCTCCTCCTCCTCCTCCTCCTCCCCATCCTTCTCTTCCCTCCCTACTAACACATCCCACACATCATCAGCATCCTCACACACAAGCGTCAGTTGATCCCCCATGGCTCTGAGCATCTTCGCCCCAACCCCGTGGATCATGCGGTTACCATCGCCGCCACACGCCACCACCACCTCTGTCGCAGGCCGGTAGACAGGGTTACCGCTGTTACCGCCTGCACCTCTGGGGTAATCGATATAATAGATGTGCTTCTGCAGGTGCTCTGGTACTGGAACCTTCTTCTTCCACCGCCCCCAGGGGTCCTGATAAGCAGCAAGGGGCAAGAGCAGGCACAAGAAAGAAATGCATTACTGCTGGTACTGCTGCTACTGCCTGTGCCCCTGGGGTATTCAATACAATAGATGTGCTTTTGCAGGTGCTCTGGTACTGGAATCCTCTTCTTCCACCGCCCCCAGGGGTCCTGGGAATGAGGGGAGGGAGGGAAAACAGTAAAGACGGCGAAGGTGCAAGTCAGCTTCTTGCTTACCACTTCACTTTCTCCTCCAGCAAAAAGTATCGTGACTCCCCAAACGTTTTAAGGCACCTCAAAAGTAGTCAGCTAAGTGTATTGCCTCATATTTCTTTCTCCAGAATAGGGTCAAACGGTGTGAGAGGAACTAAGATAAAGGTTTACGTGTATATTTTATCCACTTGGACTTGCTTACCGCTTCAATCTCCCCTGGAAGAGAGTGGAAGAGAGCGAGAGCGGACGAAGGGAAGGGGTAGTGCACACGAGCGAAGCAACCATCACCTCTGCCGCTGGGTCGAGGTTTCTGGGAGAGAGGAGAGGGGGAGTGGAGAGGAGTGGGAGGAGAAAAAAGAGGGTGAGTTTGCACGAGGGGAAGAGAGGACCGGGATGGGGAGTGCAGGAGGGGAAGGGGTAGTGCACACGAGCGAAGCAGCCATCACCCCTGTGGTTGGGTCAGGATTTCTGGGGTAGATAAGGGAGAGGGAAGAGCAGTCGGGGAGAGGAGTGGTAGGTGAAGAAAAAGCGTGAGTTTGCACAAGGGGAAGAGTCAAAAAGGGAAAGGAGCAGAGCTGAGGAAAACCCAGAAGAGGAAGGGCAAGTATACATGGGATAACCAAGACAAGGCTCATGAGGGGAGAACCCAGAAGAGGAGGAGAGGGGGCATAAGAGAATGGGATCACCTCTGAGGCGCCTCTAAATCTGTTTAAAAAATGACATCTCTTTTCTGATGCGCCTCCGATTCGAGAATTCTCAAAATTGACAGTTCAGAGAATGAGAGCACTTTCTGAGGCGCCTCAAATTTGTTCAAAGGATGAGGTTACCCGTGACCAAGTGGTGGATGTTGGATGGATGACTTGACCCAACCCAACCATCATTGGGATATCTTCCAGTGAGCAGCAGCATCACTCTCCCACCATCCCGTCAGACCATCACATCACCACATACCAGCACCCATGCAATCATGTCATCTTTCATCGTCCTTCTGCCCCATAACCCAAGTACTCAGACCCCCATGCCCCAATGCCCTCATGCTATGTCCCTACAATATCCCATCGTCCCATCCATCATGCTATCACACCACCTACCGTCACCCATGGCATCATGTCATCCTCATCCTTCTGCTGCCCGAAAACTTATATTATTATTTCGCGTGGTCTCATGCTCTCATACCCTCATGCCTCATGCCATCGCCTCACCACCTACCATCACCCATGGCATCATGTCATCTTCGTCCTTCTGCTGCCCCAGAATCCAAGTACTCATACCCCCATGCCCCCCTATGCCCTCATGTCCCCAACCCTCATGTCCCTGCCATGCAACTACAACATCCCATCATCAAAACCTACCGTCACCCATGGCATGCATCATGCCATCACCCTCATCCCTCTGCTGCCCCGGAACTCAAGTACCCATGCCCTCATGCCCCGCTATGCCCTCATGCCATCATGCCATGCAACTACAATATCCCATCACATCACCACCTACCGTCACCCATGGCATCATGCCATCATCCTCATCCTTCTGCTGCCCCAAAACCCAGATTAGTATTGTTCACGCCCGCATGCCCCCACACACCATGCCACTACATTTTATCCCATCAATCCATCATCACAACCTACCATCAGTCACCCATGGCATCATGTCATCTTCATCCTTCTGCTGCCCCGGAAGGAACCCAAGTACTCATACCCCCATGCCCCCCTATGCCCCCCATCGCATCACCACCTACCGGCACCCATCGCCACCTACCGTAACCCATGGCATCATGTCATCCTCATCCTTCTGCTGCCCCGGAACCCAGATTCTTGTCTCATCCTCCTCCTCATTCTCCTTTTCTTTCTCCCCTTCCTCGTCCCCTTTTTTCTTCCCCTCCCCCTCTCTCTCCCCCTTTTTCCCCTTCTTAACCATCTTCCCCTTCTTTCCCTTCCCTTCCCCCTCCTCCGGCCCCTCCTGCCCCTCGCTTGTCCCCTTCTCTTCCTCCTCCCCTCTCTTCGCTTCCATCCTCCTCCTCTCGTAATGCGCCAGCAAGGCAAGGATCATCTCTGGAGTAGTGCCACGTGGCAGGCTGTCAACGGTCAGTTCCCTCATCAGATAGTTTCCAACCTAGCAGGGATCGAGAGAGTGGAGTGAGAGGATTGAGAGGGAGTGAGAATGGGTGAGTAGGGGTGAGAATGGGTGAGTAGGGGTGAAAAGGGCGAGAGAAGGGTGAGAGTGGAGTGAGAGAAGGTGAGATGGAGTGGAGTGGCAATGGTCAGCTCCTGCATCAGATAGTTGCCAACCTAGCAGGGAGAGAGGGTGAAGTGCAACGAGTGAGAGGATTGAGAGGGAGTGAGAATGGGTGAGAACGGGTGGGAAGGGGTGAGAGGCGGTGAGATGGAGTGGAGTGGCAATGGTCAGCTCCCGCATCAACTACTTGCCAACCTAGCAGCGAGAGAGGGTGGAGTAGGGAGGGGAGTGGGTGAGAGGGAGGGGAGTGAAAGGAGAGAGCCAAGAGGAGTGAGATGGAGTGAGTTGGAGGAGAGAGGGTGAGGGAAGGAAAATGGAGTGAAACGAGTGAGGCAAGAGGAGCGAGGTGAAGTGAGTGGGAGTGAGGGGGGAGTGGAGTGAAACGAGTGTGGCAAGAGGAGTGAGATGGAGCGGTTGGGAGTGAGGGGGAGTGGAGTGAAACGAGTGAGCCAGGCAAACACCTCACTTGGAAGGCTGATAGGACTCGATCGATAGCACAGCCGTGCCCGGGTGGGAAATCGGATAGCACAGCGGTTGGGCCTCTCTCAGGCTTATGTTCGATATGCATTGATAGAGTGTGAGGTGGTGGTTGGGACTTGACAATGGCGGAGAGCGGCTGGATGGGCGTGGGGAGCAGTGCAGAAGTGCCGACGGCCGTCTGGACCAGCCGAACGGGAATCAAGGAGTCTTCCACACTCTCGTGGTGTGATTGACACAGGTGGGTGGGACTTACAATGGCGGAGAGCGGCTGGATGGGCGTGGGGAGGAGAGCGTCAGAGGCAACAGCCTTCTGAACCAGTCGGACGGGAACCAGTGAGTCCTCCACACTGTCGTGGTGGGACGTGTCGCCCTGCCGCATCTTGTAGCCCATGTCACGCTGCAAGGAAAGGGAGGGGAGGGGTTGAGGAGGGGGAGAGAGAAGGTTGGTATTATGTTGATGCCGGCAGCCTTCTGAACCAGTCGGACGGGAACCAGTGAGTCTTCCACACTGTCGTGGTGCGATGTGTCGCCTTGCCGCATCTTGTAGGCCCATGTCACTCTGGATGGGAGGCGGATGAAATGTGGAGTGCGGGGGATGGGCGACGGGGGAGGGGTGAGAGAAGGCTACTGGTGGTTGTGACTAGGGCGGGAATGAGTGAGTCCTCCACACTGTTGTGGTGGGATGTGTCTCCCTGCCGCATCTTGTAGCCATGTCACGCTGCAATGCATGAGGGGGGGACGGGGGAGGAAGGGCAGCACATCCCAGCACGGCAGTGTGGAGGGCTCGATTAAGTGCCTCAACAACATACCAACCTTCTCTTAAGGGGGGACGGGGGAGGAAGGGTGGGACGAAGGGGAGAGAGAAGGTTGGTATGTTGTTGAGGCACTTAAACGAGCCCTCCACACTGCCGTGCTGGGATGTGCTGCCCTGCCTGCCACATCTTGAAACCCAGGGTTAGCTGAACAGTAGACATGTTGGAATCCATGGATGGACAGCGGAAGAGAGATGGGTTGCACTCGAGTTGGGGTTGAATGGCATGCAGTGCAGTGATTGACGCACCAGAGCAACGAGGGCCAGGGGTAGCTGAACAGTAGACATGTTGGAATCCATGGATGGACAGCGGAAGAGAGATGGGTTGCACTCGAGTTGGGGTTGAATGGCATGCAGTGCAGTGATTGACGCACCAGAGCAACGAGAGCCAGGGGTAGCTGAACAGTAGACATGTTGGAATCCATTGATGAGTAGCGGAAGAGAGACGGCTGGGGGAGGAAATGACTACCCAATCCCATGCAGTGGCAATGCAATGTTATGCGCGCACGACTCACCAGAGCAACGAGGGCCAGGGGTAGCTGAACGGTAGACATGTTGGAATCCATTGAAGAGTAGCGGAAGAGAGACGGCTGGGGGAGGAACTGACTACCCAATCCCATGCAGTGCCAATGCAATGTTATGCGCGCACGACTCACCAGAGCAACGAGAGCCAGGGGTAGCTGAACGGTGGACATGTTGGAGTCCATTGATGAGTAGCGGAAGAGAGACGGCTGGGGGAGGAACTGACTACCCAATCCCATGCAGTGCCAATGCAATGTTATGCGCGCACGACTCACCAGAGCAACGAGAGCCAGGGGTAGCTCAACGGTGGACATGTTGGAGTCCATTGATGAGTAGCGGAAGAGCAGTGATGTGTCGATGACCAACCCAAGGCCATGCTGTGCCAGTGCAATGCCATGCAGTGAGTGAGGTGCACTCACCAGAGCAACGAGAGCCAGGGGTAGCTGAACGGTAGACATATTGGAGTCCTTTGATGAGTAGCGGAAGAGCAGCGATGTGTCGATGACCAATGGATGGTCTATCTTCAGCACTGCATGGGATGGCATAGCATGGGATGGGACGGGATGGCATGGGATGAGATGGTACGGCAAGGCTTTGAGGCGCCTCAGGGTTGAGGCATAGCGGAAGAGCAGCGATGTGTCGATGGCCAATGGACGGTCTATCTTGAGCACTGCATGGGATGGGATGACATGACATGGTTGCATGGATGCACCATGTATATGTGTCAACATGTGCATGCATGCATGTGGCACAAGAGACACACAAAGGCTCAGCCTCAGGTGAAATCACTTTTGAGAATTCTCAGCCTCAGCCTCAGCCTCAGCCTCAGCCTCAGCCTCAGAAGATTTCGATATGTGTCAACATGTGCATGCATGCATGTGGCACAAGAGACACACAAAGGCTCAGCCTCAGGTGAGGTCAAGACGGAAAGTGGTGAGGCATGGTAAGAAAAACAGCAGCCACAGACAGAAGGGCAAACTATCGCACGTGGCAAATAGCAGATAGTTGATACTTTTTCACAACCGAGATGTCAGAAATGGGATGGAGCCGTGTTTTGAGTCGACGACTCAAAACACGGCAAATAGAAAATGATTGATACTCGTTCACAACCGAGATGACTTTTGAGTCGACTCAAAAAGCCATCACATCAATCCTCGTCCACAACCTTTGAGAATTCTCAAAAGTCGCACCAATAGAGTCGACTCAAAAGCTGCACCAATAGAGACTGCAAACACTTAAAAGCCATCAATCCTCGTCCACAACCGAGATGTCAGAAATGGGAAGGATAGGTGAGGGCATGAAGAATGCCGTGCAGCTTGACACATCCACATGCCATGCAGCATGTGTTCGTCCACGTCAGCAGGCTCACCATCCATGTCACCAGACACGTGGTGCCCCACCAGCACTGTGTTGGGTGTCAGCAGCGCCGCCACGTCACGCTGGCATGCCACGTCAGACAGAGTAGGAGGAAAAGAGGGGGAGTGGCGGGAGGGCAGGAAAGGCAGGAAGTGAGAACTTGGAAGCGATTAGCAATACTTTAGACATGTGCTCATCACCATGTATGTCACATGTTGCCCAACCAGCATTAGTCGAGAATCTTGTTTTGAGTCGACTCAAAACTCGACTTATCACACACCATGTATGTCACCAGTCACATGCTGCCCAACCAGCAATAGTAGAGAATCTTGAAAAAATCACCTGTCCCTCCCCCTCCACCCCCCTCCACTTCTCCTCTCCCCCTTTCCTCCTCGTCCCTCCACACATACAAAGCTGTGCATCCTCTCACCCACAAGTATGCGACCTTCTCAAATCCTCCCCCTTTAACCCTGTGATCTCTCTAGTGACTTGTGAATCAGCTCGCAAGTCACCTTATGTGTGCAGCAACCACACACACTCCCCCTTAGCACGTCACACACACATCGCACCTGTGCATCCTCCCACCCACGTGTATGTGACCTTCTCAGATCCCTTTTTTTTTTTTTTTAGAAGTCTCAAAATACACATCGCACCTGTGTATCCTCCCACCCACGTGTATGCGACCTTCTCAAATCCTCTCCCTTCAACCCAGTGATTTCTCAAGTGACTTGTGAATCAACCCACGAGTCACTTCGTGTGCAGTGGTAACCACACAAACTCACGATTAGCACATGTCATGTCATGTCACACAGAACGCACCTGTGCGTCCTCCCACGTGTATTGGACCTTTGTGAAATCCTCCTCCTTCAGCCCTGTGATCTCCAAAGTGACTTGTGAATCGACAAGCACTTATCACACACACAGAACGCACCTGTGCGTCCTCCCACGTGTACTTGACCTTCTTGAAATCCTCGTCCTTCAGCCCGGTGATCTCATCCAGTGACTCTTGAATTGGCTCACGAGTCACCTTGTGTGTGTGGCAACCATGCACACTCACGCCAAGCATGTGTTAGACACGCACAACGCACCTGTGCGTCCTCCCACGTGTATTGGACCGTCTTGAAATCCTCCTCCTTCAACCCGGTGATCTCAGTCACATACGACTTGACTTCCCTCTGTGGCTGCACCAGCCGATCCAACAGCACCTGTAAGGGACGACGAAGGAAGAAGGAGAAGGGGAAGAGGAAGAGGAAGAGGAAGAGGAAGAGGAAGAAAAGAGTGTTGAACAAGAAATTGAACTGCCGTCCTGAAACCCGCCTCCTTCAACCCGGTGATCTCAGTCACATTCGTTGATGTTACTTTTGTGAATTCTCAAAAGAAACATCAGTCACATACCACTTCAGTCAATCCAAAAGAGTTGCTGCCACGTATTGAAACCATGGCACCTACTTGGTGCTCTATTGAAATCTCAAAAGTAACATCACTCACATACTACTTCACCCCCCTCTTGTGGCTTCACCAACCGATCAGCCAAAAAAAAAATTACAACAGCCTCACTTGCTATTCGCATCTTACCATTTGCACTGCACATCACCACACAGTACCATACCACACCGCACTGCACCGCATCTCGCCCTGCCCTGCCCTTGCCATCCACCACACAGACCCGTGAGCTCCACGGGTTCTTCATCGTCCCACCAACCTCAGCTTCTCCCACCATCCCCATCTCACCCAACCACATTGCACCGCACTTCACCGCACTCCACCGCACTCCACCACGTCTCACCTTGCCCTTGTCGCCATCCACCACAGAGACGCATGTCAGCTTCATGGGTTCTTCATCGTCCCACCAACCTCAGCTTCTCCCATCATCCCCATCTCACCCAGTCACATTGCACCGCACTCCACCGCACTCCACCACGTCTCACCTTGCCCTTGTCGCCGTCCACCACAGAGACGCGTGTCAGCTTCATGGGCTCTTCATCGTCCCACGTCTCACACATCCATCCCCACCACCAACCAGCCTTGCCACTCACAGCTCACCAATGCACCGCACTTCACCGCGCTGCACCACATCTCACCTTGCCCTTGTCGTCCACCACAGAGACCCGTGTCAGCTCCATGGGTTCTTCATCATCCCACGTCTCACACATCTCACAGTCCATCCCCACCAGCTTCAGCTTCTCCCTCCCCTCCTTCGCCTTCCCCTTCTCCTTCCCCTTCTCCTTCCCCTTCTCCTTCCCCTTCCTCTTCTCCTTCCCTCCCTCTGCTTCCTTCCCTCTATCTGCCTTCTCATCCTCTTCCTTCTCCACCTTGCTCTCTGCATTTTGATCAGTGCAGACCCAACCCTGGGGGGCGGAAGGGTAATCACAGAAGGAGCAGCAAAACACGGGGTGTAAAAGGGTAATTATAGACACATGAACAAGTAAATATGGGGCGAATAACAGGATGACTTTTGAGGCGCCTCAAAAGGCGACTTTTATCCCGCAATTTTACAGGCGCCCTCAATAATTATAGACATATGAACAAGTGCAATCCTTCCAGTAGTGACAAGGTTGCGCCTAAGGTTGATATAGTACAAAAAAACTATGCTTTTTATGAAGAGCTTCACGTAAAGATTTACTACTTGGTTACACTGAAAGTCTTAAGTCGATTACAAGGATGAACATACACTTTTGAAAGTAAAAACCAAGCTGAATAAACAACAACTTACCTCCATGAATGATGGGAATGTGAACGCCTTCTTGTAGCGGCAGTGGGCGCGCGTGCAGCGAAGCAGCCACTAGAGGGGATAGAGGGACAGGGCAGGATTGCAATGGTGGGATGGGACATGAGATAGCGAAATGGGAACACAACACGGGTAGGGATGTAGTATACTCACATCCAAATCTACTTGCTCCTGAACCGCGACAATGGAGAATTCTAAATAAATTCTACTCGCTCTTGAACCAAGACAAGGGAGTGAGTTGACTTTTGAGTCGACTCAAAAGTCAACTTGATAATTCTAAAAAAATATACTCGCTCTGGAACCATGACAATGGAGTGAAATCAACTCAGCAAAATCTTACTATTGCTCGCCTTCATCACAACCTCTTTCCCTCCTTCTCACACCATGTCCTCTCTTCTCCTTACTCTGAAACTTGAAATCAAACCATCCAAACGATCGGCTCACCATGATCTTTTTGTTCCTCTCCTTCATCCCATCCTCTTCAACTCCCTCTCCTCCCTCTGCGCTCTGTGACTGTGTCCTCTCCTTCCCCTAAGCGACCACATATCGTATCATCCCACCGTGATCGTCTTGTTTCTCTCCTTCATCCCATCCTCTGAAAGCGGCCTCGTCACCTCCCGTTCCTCCCTCTGTTGCTGCAACGCTCTGTCCTTTCCCTTGACAGATATCAGCTCACCATGATCTTCTTGCTGCTCTCCTTCATCCCATACCAGAACTTGCAGCGAATCTCTTTGCCTCCCCCTTATTGTGTGTGTCCCTTCATTGAGAATCCCCAAGCACCAATCAGCTCACCATGATCTTCTTGTTGCTCTCCCTCATCCGATCCTCTGCAAACGACCTCTTTGCTTCCCTCTCCTCCCTCTGCTGCTGCAACGCTCTGTGCTGCTGTAGCAACTGTGTATGAATGGGAGGGGAAACGGGAGGCAGAGGGAAGGGGGAAAGAAAGGAATGAGTGGGAGAATAAGCATGCACTGATGTGGGACATCCTCATCAGTGGGAGAAGAAGCACCAGTGCATGTGAGGCGTTTATTGAGTCGCCTCAACATCAGTGCATGTGCCTCGCTCTCCTCCCTCTGCTGCTGCAACGCTCTGTTCAGTTGCTGCTGTAGCAGCTGTGCATGGCTGCCTGCCCACAGGCTGCTGACTGGCAGGCACAGACGCAGTATGGAAATGCAACCCATGCAGCCAAGCCAAGCCAAGCCAAGCCAAGCCAAGCCAAGCCAAGCCAATCCAAGCCAAGCCAAGCCAAGCCAAGCCAAGCCAATCCAAGCCAAGCCAAGCCAAGCCAAGCCAAGCCAAGCCAAGCCAAGCCAAGCCAAGCCAATCCAAGCCAAGCCAATCCAAGCCAAGCCAAGCCAAGCCAAGCCAAGCCAAGCCAAGCCAAGCCAAGCCAAGCCAATCCAAGCCAAGCCAAGCCAAGCCAAGCCAAGCCAATCCAAGCCAAGCCAAGCCAAGCCAAGCCAAGCCAAGCCAAGCCAAGCCAAGCCAAGCCAATCCAAGCCAAGCCAAGCCAAGCCAAGCCAAGCCAAGCCAATCCAAGCCAAGCCAAGCCAACCCACGGGCTCGCTCACCTTCTTGACTCGGAAGTGCTGTGCTGTGCTGTGTGAAATGCAACCCGTGCAACCATACACACACACAGCCATGCGTCCCACACACCTTCTTCACCCGGAAGTTCCCGGCATCTTCCAGCGATGCCACAAACCCCGCCACCAGCACCCACGGCTGTCTGCTGTCAGGTTGACAGGCAGGCACAGTGCACCCTGGAAACGCCACCCATGCAGCCAAACCAAGCGACGCGCTCACCTTTTTGACTCGGAAATTCCCTGCCTCTTCCAGCGATGCCACAAACCCCGCCACCAGCACCCACGGCTGTCTATTCACAGGCTCCCAGAAGCCGCCTCCCACTCCCCCTCCCCCTCCCCAACCCCTCCCCCCCCGCCCCTCCCCCAAACCCCCTTCCCCCCCCAACACCTCCCCCTCCGCCCCTTCCCCCTGCTCCTCCCCCTGAGCCCCTGCCTCCGCCCTTGCCCCAGGGGCGCTTGTGGAGGGGAAGAGTTCTCCCCCTGCCCTGCAGCCACTTCCCCCAGTCCCCCTTGCTCCCCCATGCGCGCCTCCTAACAGCATCGAGTGCTATTGCTGCCAGCACCTGTTGGGGAGAATGGGGGAGAGACATGCGAGAGGGGATAATGAATGATCCTCCACCTTCCCCTTTTCCCCTCCCCCTGCCCTGCAGCCACTTCCCCCAGTCCCCCTTGCTCCCCCATGCGCCCCTCCTCACTGCATCCAGTGCTATTGCTGCCAACGCCTGTGGGAAAGGGAGAAGGGGAAAGGGGGGAGGATGGAGGCGGAAAGGGAGGGGGTGATATGCCCTTGCTGCCCCACGCGCCCCTCCTCACTGTATCCAGTGCTATTGCTGCCAACGCCTGTGGGAAAGAAAGGGGGGAGAGCCACGAGAGAGAGCACGGGCAATCAGCGTCAAATGCTTGCGTGCGGAGGGAGGGGGAAATGGATGATTCTCCCTTCCCCTCCTCCCCCTGCCCTGCAGCCAGCCACTTCCCCCAGTCCCCCTTGCTGCCCCACGCGCCCCTCCTCGCTGCATCCAGTGCTATTCCTGCCAGCACCTGTGGGGGAGAGAGAAGTGGGGGAGGGAGGGGGGTGGGGGAGAGAAGGAACACGCCCTTGCTGCCCCACGCGCCCCTCCTCGCTGCATCCAGCGGTATTGCTGCCAGCACCTGGGGGGGCGAATGGATGGGGAAGGTTGGGGGGGAATAGGGTATAGAGGTTAGTGTTAAAGAGGGAAGAAGACACGCCCTTGCTGTGCTGTCCCACGTGCCCCTCCTCACTGCATCCAGCGCTATTGCTGCTGACACCTGTGGGGGGAGAGTGGGGGAGAGTGGGGGAGAGTGGGGGAAAGGGAGATACAAGACGCCCCTTGCTCCGCTGCTTCCCCCTTCATTTCTACTCCTTTGCCCACAACCAAAACACTCCTTTTTTCCCGCCACCAACACCCACACCCACACCCACACCACACCACGCCATACAGCATCCCCGCTTCACGCCCCTCAATATTCTTGCTAAACCCTAGACCCCGGACCTCTTCCTCCTGCCACTTGCACCCACGCCACTCCATCTTAACCCCTAAACCCTCTCTCCTGCTCACATATTTCTGTGTCCTCACGGCTCTACCTCCCGTGCAGAGTCTCCGCCACAAAGCCTTAAACCTAAAACCCGCGCAGCTCTTTCCCCCAACGTCCCCCTCCTCCCCCACTTTCTCACCAGCCTCAAGTTCCCCTTTTCTCACCGTAAAATCCTCTTCGTTGCACCCACGTGCCTAGAGCGTTTCTTAGTCACCTCAAACCACCCCACACCCCGTCCCGTCCCCCCTGCCACCCTCTCTTCCCCACTCCCTTCCCACTTCCCCCCACCTCACTCCACTCCCCCTCCCACCTTGAAATCCTCCTCCTTGTACCCTTGCGCCCTCCGCTCTTCCCTCTCCCTCTCCGCCCTCTCCTCCCCCCATCGTCCCCTCCCTCCACTACTTGCCCTGAAGCCACACAAGCTCCCCCCACGCGCACCTTGAAATTCTCCTCCTTGTACCCTTGCACCTTCAGCGCTTCCTTCTCCCTCTCCGCCCTCTCCGCCCTCTCCGCCCTCTCCGCCCTCTCCTCCCCCCATCTTCCTTCCCCCCTCCCAAATCCCCACACAAGTAGCCCACACAAGCTCCCCCCCCCCCCCCCACGCGCACCTTGAAATCGTCTTCCTTGTACCCTTGCGCCTTCAGCGCTTCCTTCTCCCTCTCCTCCTGCCGCTGCGCCTCCGTCATCCCCGCCTCTCTCGCCCGCCTTGCCTCTTCCGCTCCCCTGGCTCTCCCCGCTTCCCCCGCTTTCCCCGCGGGCTCCGCATTTGATCGTTCCGCACGCCCCTTCTTAGCATTTCCCTTCTTTTTATCCTTCGTTACCTCGTTATTCGACTCATTAATCCCTCTCTTGGCGGTCTTAGCGGATTTTCCGGGACGCTTCCTCGACGCTCGTTCCCGCTCCGCGACTAACGCGTCTACGTCCTCGTCTAGAGAAATTCCTTTAAGAATATAACCCGAATCGTCCCCTTCCCCCGAGCCCACGTCGCCATTGTCGTTCTTCCGTTCGCCTTTGGCGGAAACCGCTCCGGCGGACCTCTCTGCCGCGCCTTCTGCCGTCGCTTCCGCCATCCGCGCAACTTTCCGCCGCTTCGCAGAACCAACCGCTCCGCCAACACCTGCTCCGCTTCCGCCCGCCTCCGCATTGGCCCCGTCAGCTTTCCCCAAGGAGCTTTTCCGTTTGCTCGGAGTTTTTTCCGCCTTCTGCTCCGCGCGCGCGCGCGGGGACTTCTTGGCGGAGCTGGAGCTTCCCATTATCTCCGCCTGCTCGGCGAGACAGGCCTGCAGTCTCGGCAAATTGAAAACGCGCGACAAAGTGAAGCCTTAGGGAACGGGAAACGCCGTCTCGGCGAAGCGACGCAGAATGTAGCCGCGTGGATGAACCCTTTTGAGAGGGTATCGCCTCGAGAGGGGTTTATGGTGGGCCTTTATGGCTGTAACCCAAAACCCCTGTGACCCGCATTGCAGTATCGTTTTATGATACAGTGTAGTTGTTTTGACTGGCGTTCTCTGTTTACATACATATTCAGAGTCGTCTGTCCTTCAAAAATCAACAAAGAAAATCATGACAAGGCCAAGAAATATGCGCACGGCCTCATATATCATTGTGAAACACATAATGAAAATCAGATTCCTTCGTAAAAAAATATTTACTGCTTCAAATATTTGTGAAAATAATCATATTCTGTACATTGTAGTTCCCTTGTGACCATTAGAAACCATTTACCGTAATTTTAGTCCTCTGATAAATGTGCGATATATGTATGTGTGTTCATGACATTTATTTAGTATCATGTGCAGTAAACGGGTAGGTGTATCTATTCAAGATATTGTCTTTTGGCTTGATTTGTTGGCCCTCGCACCAGATTGGGCTTTTGGGCTCTTCGTTACAAGCAATACGCGCATCGTCATCGCACGTCCCCACGCAAAGCCAACAAGAGACTACCTAGGCAAGGCCACCTAAAAGTGGCGGGAACGACCTTCCGTGCTTTGCGCCACCAACCAGCAAATTTCGCCCCACCATCGTACCCCCCCTCCTCCCTCCTGGCAAATCAGAAACACTCAAAAAAGACCATCCACGCCACGTCAACCCTTTCTCCTCCCTGCCGAACCGCGTCCACGCACGCCAGTTTCCTGGCCCCCGCGATTCGAGATTTGTTTCCACTTTACAGGCCATCCAATGCCACTGCACATCGCACGGAACGTGAGGGCCATCCTGTGATCCCATCCCCATCCCATTCCCGTCTCACCCACCCAGCCAGGCGGACCCCCCGCCCCCACCATCACCTCACCACCACTCCAGCATCACATCACGCGGGGCGGGCTTGCTTCAACCCTATGCGGATGTGTTGTGATCCAGGGCTCAGGCTAACAGGGTAAATGCTCGTTCTTGACTGAAAATTCAAGGTATTTTTCAGCCAAACTCGGATTTTTACAGGGGACTTTTTTCGCCATCCCTGACTGAATCCGAGCTGTTCCAGGACTGACTCTGATGAATCCGAGTACTCCCTCGAAGCACTCGGAACTTTTTGTAAGGCTCTAAACACCCCCAACCTTCCCCTCTCCCTTTCAACACTAGTAAACTTCTTACCCTCTTCGTGGACTTGTGAATGCTTCCCTCCCGCCCCTCTTTCCCTTGATCAAATTCGGAGGCATCTGTATACTTGCTCTCTGTGAGCAGAGGTCCACACAAAAGCAGCAGTGCACCAACACACAGAGTTTGAACATCAGCTTTTGTCAGAAGTCTCCTCTCCATAGCCGCGGAACTATCGAAATACGTAAACGAGGAATTTTTAGGCCAGCCTTGACTTTTCCGAGCGGTTTTTTTGCTGACCCTGCGTTTTCAGGGCATTTTTGTAAGGGAGCCAAAACGTCCGAGTTGGCGAAAAGCCTAACTTCAGCTCTGTTGTGCTCTGCTCTACAGTACACCCCCATCTCATCAACTCTGAGCCGTCCCTTTGTTACCAGGAGCTTGAAATGAGCTTTGAGCCGTACCCTTGTTGCCTCTCCTCTCGTCTCGCTTCTCCCGTCGGTCGATTTCGGGGCAGCAGGAGATGGGACTAGGCTATTCTCTCGCACACGTCGCCCAGCTGCAGAATTAGCACCCTTTCACATCCCACTGGCTCCTGCACAAACAAGACCGTCTTGGTCGCTTTCCCTGTGCACTGAAGATTAGGAGGGCAGGACGAAACAAAGCAAAAGCGCATGTTTGGTCATCGGGCCCCAGCGTCTAGCTACTTCGCCTAGGGACAACCAAGGTGTTCGCATTTGCTCGTGCATCTGCGTCCCGATTCTCTTCACTCGTCCGACTAGTTGAATCGAGATTCCACGAATGTTGCTAATAGTTTACTGCCTTTAACATGTCTACCTCATCATCGCTGAAGTTAAGGATCCTCCTCTAGCTCTGCTTAGCTCCTACTAGTAGTTCCAGCTATGTCAAGCTGCGCGTTACGGAGCTCCGATATTCTTAGCGTCAGTTTTCACCCCCTGTTGCTAAAGAGCCTCTCTTCGCAATCTCCACCTTCGTAGTGTATATCTAGATCTAGAATAGAAAGTTCTAGTCCACCTTGTTGATAGCAATTCAGATAGCAATTCGGGGTTTAACCACGATAAGAGTAGTGGGCAGTTCTGTCTACCTTGTTGATAGCCATTTAGACAGCTTTATAACGCATACAACTTTTAGCGAGCTTAACAATATGCCGTCGCAGCGACTTGCTCCCTCCCTCCCGCCCGTCACGGAAGGAGACGAGGAGGCGCGATCCGGAGACATTTCAGACTCGTCGACTCTCAGAGAAGACACGTCGGCCCGCGGCATGGACGCGTCGGCTAGCAAGGGGAACGAAAGCGGAACAAGAGGCGAGAGGGCGGCGGTGCAGAGCGAGGGCGGAGCCGCAGCGAACCAAATGTGCCGCGACGACTCGATGACGTCGACGCCGCGGTCCGAAAAGTCAGAGTGTCGCACGGTGTTCACGCCGAACGAGCTGCTGCAGCTGTGCGACGCGTGGGCTGCGGTGAGTGTCGTTTCTAAGTTCTTGTTTGAAGCAGTCTAGGAAAACTGATGTGAGATAACAAATATCAACTTGGGATTGTTTACTGAAATATTATTGGAGCTTCTTGTACGCGAACGAGTGTCGAATAAAGTCTCCAAAAACGTTGCCGGAAATGCATTCAGATATGCTTTCGAAATGGAAGCGCGAGCTCCAAGGCGAGCAGAATGCATTTTCAATTATGCGTTTCCATTTGTCGGCTGAATTGTAAAATTCAGAGTGCCTCAATGCGGGTTTGCGGATGACTCCAGGGGTTTGCCGTGTTTGCGATGCTTGCCATGAGCTCGAGACTAAGGCTCTTGGCAAATGCTAATTACATCGCGGTTTGCGACCATCTCGCCGGATAATTCGATGGGTTTGCCGTGTACCTGAGGCCCTTCGCAAATACCAACATCATTATGATTTTCGATCACCTCACCGTCTGATTAGATCATATGCGAAATTCTCCGTATCTTACCCTTCGTGCTCGATACTCTCTAGCATCCACAGAGGCACACACGGGGTGTGTTGTTTTTCCACCCTTTTCTCCCAATGACCCACCTCTCTGATTCTCCTCTCACCGTTTTTCACCGCTTCCCACACCATCAGCCATGGGAGGATCGTCGCCCTCATAGCCAATCAACATCTCCCGCACCTCGTCCCTCCAACTCTTCATCGCAACCGTTGGATCTTCAGCGCGCGCTCTCCTGCGATCGCGCCTCACTCTCCAGCATCGGCTTGTCGACCCCATCCCCTGCGCGCACGGCAAGCGGAAGCGGAAGGATCTCCGCATCGCCTGGGCGCGGAAGCGGAGGTATCACCCCGCAACCGAACGCTTCCCCGGGCCTTCTTCCCCCCCACTCCCCCATGGTGTTGCGCGAGTGGGAGGAATTTCTATTCGTTAAGAATGCTTCCCCCTCCCCCACCGCTACCTTCCGCCGATCCCGCCTTGGCGCGGGATCGGGGGAG